TGAACTGGAAATGTTCATCTTGAGTGATTTCTTCCTTTCTGGTATTTGCTCTTAGTAATAGCTCAATGGTATTGTCTACAAGGGAGCACAAGTGCTTTCTACTGAGTTTACACATTATTCATTTAATTTTAGGCAATGTGCATTTAATAAACATGAAAGTAAAACTTGATTATATTAATGCGCAGACAAAAGCTAGAATGAATTGATCCCAGTGCCTTGTTTTGCATGCTTGTTTGTTTGTTTTTACAATATCTGCCATTAAAAATCTCAGACCCCTGACCATGATTCCTGCCATTGCCTGAGAACTGCAAGCTGTGAGTCCTGGTGTGTCTCTCAGTTTGTTTGAGGCTCTCAGAGCAGTTTCATATGTTCCAGTTTGTACGTGGGAACTCGTGCCTGAGAAGGGCTGCCCTGAACACTACAAACCCTAACATTTAGCATGAAAGCCAAGTGTTTGGAGGCTACGACACGTCCCCTGGTTGGCCCAGTTACTACCATGAACTGGCTGCCTGCCTCGAGCAGCAGATGTTAGGAGACAGTGAGATTTATCTTGTCACCCAGCCTGCTCAGCCTACTTTATGTCAGGGGTGGGCAAATTATAGTTGTTTCTCCAGCCCCCAGCCCGTGGAACTCTCATTTTCTGCGGGAGCGGGAAGGCAAAATGCCATTTCTGGACATTGAGGTTTTTAAATTGATCACAGGGCCACCTTACACCATTCAACAGCCCTGAGACCCAAAGGGACAGAAGTAGCATCCAGTTGTCTGAGCAACCATGGCACATTCTCTGTTTCACCACACTCCTTTGCAGAAGCTTTATTGTTACGCAAGGTTGTGAATAAGGGAGAAAGGAGATAGCCTCTTATACCTGACGCAACCTGGGAAAAGTTTAAAGAGACTTTATGATTCCATGAAAAAAAAAATAGCCAAACTGAGATGGGAAGTGCTGAAATGAGCATGAAAATTAGCCCAGTTCAATTTCTGACTGTAAAATAAACAGTAAGAGTCAAGTCAGCTGTTTATTTGTTATCTAAGGGAGAAATATATACTGTACATCTGGTTCCATTTAATAGAAGGTGATGCCTGGACATTTTCTTGTGATGAGTAGAATGAGTTTTGCCTCATCCCCACATGTGTCACTGAAAGAAGAACAGGCTCCAACAGGCCTCTCTGCTAGCTATTCCAATTCCTGAGGCTTACTGAGGATAAGGGAGTAGCCATTTTGAAAATGATTCCTCTCATTGTCTGGGAACCACAGGTTGTGTGTTTTGGAGATTGTGGAATATCATGTCTCAGTGTCCAAGGACAGTACAAAGTGTGAGATCTACTCTTCTTGTGATTTCTGGTGTGTTTGGTAGGATGGCCTCTCCCATTTTGAAGAGACTCTTGACCAGCAGGCCAAGGCAAAGAGGCAGTCCTGAAACCAGCAAAATCAGGGAACTAGGCAGGGGACAGATTGTATTTGCCTTCAGTGTGGGATTGTCGCTCTCGACTCGACCTTCTCAGCTAAACTAGACGCTGTTCCAAGACCTCTATTCAGAGCACGTTACCATAGTCTCTCAAGACTGAAGGATGCCTAATCTAAAGGTAGGATGGCCATATGTTCTTTTTGTTAAAAAAATTAAGGATATTCCCCCATTTTGATGAGCTATCCTGCCTGCTGGCAATGCATATCTTCCTTTCTCAGTATGTATAAGTGAGTCGTCTGGTTAGGCAGGGAGGCTTTGATTAGTAAATATATCTTATCAGCCCTCTTTCTTTTTTTAAGCAAAATGGTTTGGGGAGAGGTAATCTCATAAGAAGCAAACCCTACACAGTCATATAAATGTTGATGAATGGCAGGAGGGATATGGCATGGCATATCAACTGTGTATGAATGTCAGATGTGAGGTCAGTCCCAGGAGTAGACACTGTTCAGATTGTTCCTCTGAAATAACTGATAGTTGCCTAGCTAGATATTTGAAAAATACTACAGAAATCTCTGTTTTCTTTCTGTCTATATTCATTTTCAGTAAGCTGCAGAAAATACAAGTTGCAGGGCATTTCAGAGAGGTATTAAACCCTGTGCCTGATTTATTTGGTTCTTGTCCCATATATCTCTCAATGCTGTTCTAATCTTGTGCAATATAGTGAATAGTACTTCATGTTGTTGCAAGTGGTCATTCTTGTAAATTCAATTTTTTTTCAATGTAATTTGACCATGAATGCATATTTAAAAGCCATTAATTTTACAAAATACCTCTTCCACATCAGTTAATATGGACTAGTACAGCTGCCTGTATCTTTGGACTCTCTGTGGCTGTGAGGACTAAATAATCTACCCTTTATTTACTTAAAATATTTTACCCTGCCTTTCTCCTTAAAGGAACCCAAGATGGCTTACATCATGCCACCAGTTGTTGCAATGTCATGGTGAGGACTGGCTTTGACTTCATTGCAGGAGTTTTTTGTTTTTACTATTGAGATAGGCTTCAGCTTTAAGATCCATTCTCTCTGGCGATAAACTCAGTTGTTATGTTATAAATCTTTCTGAGTTGGCTCATGTGTTTCTTCCTGAAAAATCTCTAAAACAGTAAGAGTTAGAAACACAAGTTTGCTTGGTTTTATTTTATATTTTATTCCATTATTTTGTGCCTATTCCTTTGTGCATTTCTAACCTGGTCTTTCTTGAAGCATGGGATGCCCAATGCATTCACACAGTGATTCTTAACCTTTTTGAAAGAAGATCAGCCCCAAACCTGCCTTAGCTTCGGCAAAGTGGTTGTATCACATGCTTTCTCAGATCGCACTCTGGGAACATAGGATCAATGGAGCCTCTTCATTCTTTCCACTCATGCAATGGTTCATTGTGTGTGTGTGTGGTTGGACAGCTTTCAGATTTGCATAAGAAGTTATCCACTCGCATTTCTCCTCACAAGCTTGGAAACAGGCCCACCCCTTGCACACGGGATCGTTGCTCCCGCAGAAGGAACAAACAGGATTCTGTCTACCAAAATTAAGACTGCCATTCAGGGCACATTCTGGAACAGGTTAACTACTTCTTCTATATATGCCAAGTTTATTTTACATTTCTTTTTTTTTAAAAAAAAGACAAACAAAACAGAACCAATCCTCAAAACCAACTCCAGATGGGGATTAGGCTTCAGTGAATAATCCAGAGCTGCCTTGGCAAATACCTTCCACTAAAGTTTTCCAAAGATTTACATAAATCTAGAAAAAATAAACTAGCTGGTTTACAATTTCTCCTTCTGAACATTTATAAGATCAGAATAGACTTTCTGAGCCCTACTATTCAGCCGTACAAAACTGGTTCACTTAAGAGTTCTGCTCCTGTTTCCTTTTGCTCCAACTATCAAGCTTCAAGGAAGTTGAGTAAAAGCTGGTTAACAACAGAAGGTTGATGTTCTTTTTTGCTGCACATTTAAGAGCTGCAAAACAGTTTTTCCCATGACAGAGATATTCCCCACTGATGTGTCCAGCTGTGTAGTTGGGATGCGTGTATTGTGTAGCTGTGCAGTCTGTCTTCCAAGATAACCAAAACAATCACTTCTGCGCAAAATTGAAACAGTATTGTAAAAATACTAGTAAAATTATACACAAACCCCTCTTCCAATGGAAAATTATTATTCTTGACATGTACAGTGTTTGAACATGCGTTTTGATGTTTATTCATTTGGATGACTGGAACATCTTGCCAGTTCATGCAAGGAAACTGGATAGTTTTTAAAAAGGTCTAGGCAGCATTAATACAATTTTTGTCTATGAAATAAATATACTTCTAACATTAAGATAATGATCTGCACATGCCTTGTGGGCTGACTCCATGCCATCTTCCGCCACCTCTGCGTGAAACCAAATGTATTTCAAAATCTAGCATTGTGGAGTGGTGCCATTTCAGGCAAAATAACCCTATTGCCTTTTGCCTAAGTAACAAAGCAACTGGATGTTAGCCAATGAATCATGGGTTAAAATCAGGGAAGCTGCACCATCACGCAGGGAATGGATCATTGAGATCTCAAACACAGGTTTCTTTTGTACGTCTGGATGCCCATGCACAGCCAGAAAGAGGATAACACTACTGTGTAACAGCAGAAAATATAATTTTCTTTCATCATCTGTTCCTAGCCCAATAAACATCTCACACAGCTATTGCAGATTCCCAATGGAAATAACTATTTCTCAGTATAGGTTCCCCCAGAGCCTCAAGTGAGACCCTTGAATGAGACCGATAGTGCTTGATCAGAAGCATTTGCTAGACTTGACTCTAAAGCACTGGTTCTTAACCTTGGGTTACTCAGGAGTTTTGGACTGCAACTCCCAGAAGCCTTCACCACCAACTGTGCTGGCTGGGGTTTCTGGGAGTTGCAGTTCAAAAACATCCGAGTAACAAAGGTTAAGAACCACTGCTCTAAAGCATGTGAGGTAAACTTCAACCCAAAGATCCTTTCTTTCTGACTCTGAACCAAGCAGTTATCTTATAAATATTTCTGAAAGCTTTGCTTGAGAATTTGTCAGGAATGGTCTCCAAAATAATTAAGAGCTAGAAACCCAGGTCTGTTTATCTATCTGCTTTGCATGGATGCTCTGGAATTCTCAACTTATCAAGTCCCTTTTGCTTGTTGGTTTGTTGCGAAAAAGATCTTCAAAACAATGGTTCGCTTCTTAACATCTTACTTTTGTTCTCAAGAACTGAGGGGTAAGCCATGGCTCCCAATATTTCAACCTTTAGCTAGCTGCAATAAGGAATCCTATTATCTTTCCTAGCTGGCTGGATAACTCAGTGCTGAGCCAAAGGTTCGGGGTTCAGTTCCCTACTCTGTATCCCAGAATTGCTTGTCTTTATGGCTTTGGGCAAGCTGCACAGTCCCAGGGCAGCCCCAGGAGAAGGGAATGATAACTCATTTTCTACCTAGAAAAGCCTGAAAACGTCATTGACTAAGAGGTGTGGGTTTGATTTCTTTTCAAAGGGAAAACATGCTTGGCTAACTATGCTAAATTTTAAGGCGCATTTAAGTTAACTTGGCTCTTGCTTGCTGCTGCTCCTTTCTCTGCCAACAAATCTGGAAACCAGTTAGTATCAGCTTCAGCAGGATGCACTGTCACTAATTTGTGGCCTGTAAACATTAAACCTAAATCTTTACCCAAGATAATTGCCAGCCACATCACAACGTGTTTTGCATGTCCACTGTCCTGGCTTCTCTTGTAATGCAAGACAAAGGAACCAGTGCCACGAACCTCATTCCCCACCTGGAACGCATGGCTCATTCTTTATTGCAGACGGATGGCATTTACAGCAGAAGTCCTTCATGGATAGATAAAATGGCACTTATTCTTACGTATATGAAGCCTATACTGTACTATAAAACTGTTTCCAGTTCTTCTTTATATGGCTTGAATGTTGTGAAGATAAATATGAAGATTATAAATGTTATGAAGGTAAATATGGATATTAATTGGCACAAGAGGTGGGCAATTGTAACTCTTTCCAAGATGTTCTTGGACTGCAACTCCCATTAGTCCTAACCAGCACACCTGGATATGAGGTATACAAGGGGTTGCAGTCCAAAATCATCTGGAAAGCCATAATTGTTCACCCCTGATTTTACATCAGGCACAAAATAAACAATCTCACTATATAGAAGATAAACCAAACCACGTCTTCATTTCAACACATATATATCATGTTGGCTTCCCAAGCCATATAGCTATACTCAAATTTAAATCTGTGCAGCTTTTAATTTTTTTTAAAGCTCATATTTATATTGTAATTATTTTCATTAGGAATATTTTAGGGAGGAGATGAGAATACTGTGGACCTTCAAATGTCAGTAGACTATAATTCCCGTCACTCAATGATTTGCTATGCTGACTAGGTCTGATGGGCACTGGAGTTCAGCAATATCAAGTATACCACAAATTTTCCCCCACTGCTTTCATTCCTCAATAAAAGGAAAATATTTTAGATTAATGAACTGAAAAGAGGTTGTTCTAAATTATTTTATGTTATTTTCCTACTGAAGCAATAGGAAAAAAAAAACACTTTTATCTGGTCTACCTTTGAATGTGGCTTTATATTTCTCTTACTGATGTCATGCTTTTGAGAACAACTTTGTATATTTGATGTCTTTCAAAATGAGGGCTTAAAAAAACAACATCAACAATTTAAAACGAGAGTATTTTTGGATAAGTGCTCTGAACTTTCATTACAGATTTCAATTTTGTTTAGGATGCTTTCAAAAGCACAAGTCGCAATAACAGAAATAAGAAAAATGTCTTTGAAGGTATTAAATTTACCATTGACTCACAAACAATCCCATGCAACATTATTTTTTAAGAATACTTCATTTACATATGGCAGGGAGGTGCTTTCAAAGACATAACGATCCACATATATAGATATATAGTTTAAAATCTTTGCTTTTTCCTCCACAGTTTTGTGATCATTGCAAGTAAAATCTACATTATGTAAATCCAAGCACATATGACCTGGAATATGCATCTTATTGTTATCTGACAATTTTGTCACAGATAGCTTTCATGTACATATATTTGAAGAAGGAAGCTCGGTTGATACAATTTTTTTAAATGACAGAAATGTGTAAATGTTCAATATTTAAACTCATTTAAAATGCTTTTCTAATAAAAATCTGAGGTTCAAAATTGACATGAACCCAATAGGCTTATTGCTACATTAATAAGGCATTTAATATATTTACATAAGAGTTAAGCTACATATTCTGTACACATTAGTTAAGCTACATATTCTGTACACACTGAAACATGTTTGCTGTGGTAATTTTTGATTTATCTGAGGACTGTCACCACAACTGACCCTTCCATAAATCAAAGTTGGGGGAATCCATTACAGAAACAGGGGTGGTGGTGGTGAGTGCCCATAATGTGCCCACTCCTGCCATTATTCTAACTGAGGAAAGATGGACTAGACTTTTGTAAACTATTACATCCTAGCACCAAAGTCGTCATCTATTAGTGATTTGTTCCCCTGATTATACAGGCTTTCCCATTCCCATCAAGGCCCAGCTCTATTTGTTTCCTAACAAGAGAATGGAGCTCCCCTCCCCTCTGCAAGGCTGTCCTCACCATCAAGAGTGTACAGTACATGGCCTCCCCTGGGACTGCAACGATCCCTGAAGGGATAACTCTTATGAACTCTGCAGGCAGAATGATTGAAACAATCCTACAGATCTTTGGCATGCTTAAATCTGTATCGTTTTCCAAACTAGCATGAGCAGTTGTCCCTCTAGGCTCTTGTGAAAAATGATGTCACTCGTGACAGTTAATGATAGCCAGTGATGTGTTCCGGACAGTCAATGGCTGAAACAAGTGCGCATGTCACACTTCCCATTTTTGCACCTCTTCTAAAATTTGATTTATAAGTATTAAATTAGTCCCCCCTTTCCTAATTTTCCCCCAAAATAGAGGGCATGTACAGTCATCAAGCTCCACCCCAAAAATGGTATTTGTGTGTCTTTCATACGATCAAGGATAAGCTAACTTGACAGTCAAGCTTAGAAACATCCTTTCGTCGGACTACAACGCTGTAGTGCAAGAAAAGGAACGTCTCCAAGCTCTGCTTCTGGCAGAGGCAGGCCAGCCCAAAGAGGTATCCCCTACAGTAAGTCCTAAGGGAGAGCTTGTTTCTTGTCTCATCCCAGTGTTTCACAACTTGGTACTGTACAATAATGAACAGGCAGCCTGCATCACAGGAAAATGCTTACTGCAGCAGTAACCTGAGACAACTAAACAAGCTGAAAACAAAACAATCATAGATTATAATAGTACCAGTTATAAGAGGAGATGCTTCTCTTGAAAAATGCAAACCAGCAAAGGAGCCATTCATTTATATTGTCAAATAGTAATGACTCAAATTTACCGTACCACAAAAAATAAACACACCAAAACAAAGAAACAAAAATAAATACAGTAATACAATTTGAGGTTTTAAGTGCACCTTCACCGATGGTCTGCGGTCAATTTAAACAATTGGGGGGCGGGGCAGGAAACGACTGCTAAGTCCTATGTAAATGTTTCCAGTTCCTCAGTATATCAGAAAGGACCGGCTGGTTTCAAGTTCAGATAAAATAATCAGACCCAACTAAATGTGTGTTCTGCATTTACTGTTGTAGGTCTTTTTTATATAGCGCCACTGATATTAGAGGATTTTAGGTGGCATCAGCCCTGAGCACAGTCCGCATTGTTCCCATGTATCCAGAGACATATCTGGGCATATTTGAGGGGAGTGATTCGAACACCCACATTGTAATCCTGCTGTTCTCCATTAACATCCACCCACTGATGACCGGAATACACGGCAATAATTTTGCGCTTCCATTTATTATTGCTTGGCTCTTTAAGGCGCAGGTAGATTCCTGATCCAGTAGAGCCAGACTCAGCATCGCAATACTGGTAGAAGAGATCGCTGGATTCGTCTGAGATACTGCAGAACCGATAGACCAGCTGGCCTGGTCGGTCAGCGTCATATCCAGAAAAGTGGATCATGCTCCCAGGCGACCCTTTGCTCGCTGGGCTGATGCCCAGATCCATGTATTTCTTCTTGTGGGGACGCTTGAGCTCCAGGACGGCATAGTCATAATCCACTGCAACATCTCCAGCGACGCCTCTCAACCAGCCTTTGGGGATGTGAGTACTTTTCACTCTGGTCCACTGGAAGGAAGGCTTTCCCTCAGGTTTTCCCTCGTTCAGCCCAGATGCTTTTTGCCTTCTGCCAGCTCTCCTGCTAGATCGCTGCTTTGGTTGCTTGGCATCAGCACTGTACTCCTCCGCCCCTGACTCTTCCCTCTTGCTCCTCCTGGCTCCCCTGCGCCTCTTGCCATTGCCTTTGGATTTCAGTCTGAGTAGGCCCACTCTCAGCTTCTTGCTGCCTTTGATGTAATCTTTGCCATCGTGCACACAATGAGCAGCGGTCAGCACATGCTTCGGCGAGACGAGGACGCCACTGCAGCCTGTGGAGATCTTTACGGCTGTGTTGAAGGGGTAGTTAGTCAGAAAGCGTGTGTCCGAGATGCTGAACCTGCTATCCGTGCCGTACACCTGCCTCTTCATTCTTGACGGCACTTTGGCAGTGGTGGCGTTTGCAGGGGAGTCAAGCTCCGCCCCCAGAACATTCACAACCGTCAAGGTCCTTGTGCCATTGTCAAAAACCGTCTCATATGACAGCAGATCCTTCAAGTCAGACAGGTGGGGCATCGGCAGTGTCCTTTGGCATTCAATCCCACACACGCCACTCAGCTCTAATTGTGGATTTGCTTCAAATTTAGGAGTGTCAAGAGAGAAAGTCTTTTCCTTCACAAGCTGAGGTACTTTTTTTAACTGCCAGCTAAAATCCTGGTCTGTATCTATTCCACCAACGAAGCTCAAGGAAGACATAGAAAATAGCAGTAACAGCTTGAAGGTGGCCATCTTGTCGTTGTTTTCTGTTTGGGAAAAAAAACACATGCGTGAAAAGTGTTTATTTAAATACAGTAACAAATATCAGCAATGTTTCTACAAAAAATTATAAACAGAATGGGTAAGCAGACATGTGCCATTCATGTTTTTAAATTATATATCCCAGAATTCTCCTTTCAGAGAATCCCACCTGACTAGGGTTGCCAGACGTCCGGAAAATTTTTAAAATTATATACCCCAGAGTTCTCCTTTCAGAGAATCCCACCTGACAGACACTTAAATGTTGCTCATCTGGATGAAAGGCTGAAGCTGGAAGGTCTCTAGGTCTGGCATTGGCCTAGCTCCTCCTGTTCAAAAGGGAAGTTCCGGTTGAGCACTTTTTCCAGCTTAGGCATTTCTCCAAGGTGAGCCACATTTAGGTGTCTGCCTGTCTGCCTGATGGGACTCCTGAAATGGAGTATTTTGGGATTTGTACTGAAAAAGAAAGAAAAAAGAAAAAAGGAAAAAAGAAAGAAAAAAGACTGGCACTTTCCTAAGAATAAGGTATTTATGAACACGTCAGTAACTACTGTATATTGACTTTTAGATCTTTGTGATTTTGTAGTGCATTTAATTATGTAAATATTTAAGCACGTAAGTCATTTGGCCGTGAAAAGCCAGAAAAACTCATGAATATATATTTTTTCCAGTTCACTCTACTTTTACTCTCACGGTGGCCTAAACTTTGGAACGAAAGCAAGTCTAGTATTAGGTGGAATCCATGCTGCATTCCAAATCCACTGATATGCACATGCATGGGAATGAACTAACGAATTTAAGAAATACTGTATAAACACTTCAGTGGGAAAACTGATGCCTTTGGAAGTTTATTTTATGAGGATTAACATAACTATTTGATTCAGGCTTCTGTGTCATAGTTATCTAAGGTACAGAACTAAAGAAAACACCCTGCATTTTGCTTGAAAATGACAGATTTATGATAAAATATATACAGCTGCACAAAACACTGCAGTGGATTTCCACCTCCCTAAAACTCAAGTAGATGTGATACTGCTTGGATGGCTGTCACTATATCTTCTATATTTTTTAAATTTCATTCCAGAGTAGCCACAGGGGTGGATGAAATAGGACTTGGAGCATAACTTTAGAAAAGATAGATTAACGCTCCTGTTACAGTTTTCTCAATGAGATACTGCAGATATTCATGCATTCTGGTTGTTTTGTCTTTGCTTTCTAAAGCCAGTTGCAAGAAAAGCAAGGAGCAGGGCATCCATCTTCTTCCATTTACCTTTCCTGCCTGCCCCCATCTGCTTCTCCAAGGTGGTAACATGGGTTTTTGGCTGGGCTTTTTTCTAGATGCACTTTGGCCTCTAGCTGCCCCAAACTTGTCCATGGCATGTCCCTTGCACAAGTAGTTATGCTCCGGCAGATTTCCAAAAATGGAGAAAGGTATCAAGCCCATTTATCTTTTCCTTTGTGGGAAAAAAAGCGCAAGTGGTCAAGCGAGATGTTTGCAAGCCTGGATTAGCCATCCAAGGGTAGGTGGGAAACGAGAGAGGGCGGCTTCCAGACATTTTCAGCATCGTACAGCAAATCTACATCTTGGCCCAGGATGTGAACTCAAGCCTTCCGAAGGTCAATAAAATGTGTAAATGGGAAAGTATTGCTTCTCTTGCGAGTGGAACTGAATGCTTTAAAATAATTACAAATCTGACTGGTTGCTGCCATTCGGAATAGGGAGTTTGCTCTCCCTTCCTACTTCATAAATTCAGCAGCATGTAAACCTCAGACACATATGGAAAGAGCAGTGCATGCTTCTAATTATATTTTCAAAACTAGGCATTTAAGGACATGCATCTGGTTAGACTCAACAGATTAGATATTGTAACTAAAGTGCACATCAGAATAAAGAAATCTCTGTTTTTAACATTATATTTTGACGTTGGAAAGAGCTGAAGTCTACATTAAAGTAAAATTCTAATACCAAGGCAGAATTAAAGGCTAAGGAAAAGCTGCCCAACAGCACGTGGCTCAAATTCTTAAAAGGGGGCTGGGGCGGGGAATAATGGCCAGTCCTTTTAACTTAACATGTTCTCCTTTGCTATCATTAGACTGGAGTGTGTGATCTCACAATAGTTCAATTCTATGTGTTTTAAACCAGATGGACCTGGGGCACCAGCTCAATTTCAGAATGGCTTGTGATTCTGCAGTAGAGCCATGCTTTGTTGTAGTTCCAGAAATCTAAATCTTCTTAGTGCAGGAAACTTCTGGGCCACACTAGTTCATTCTGATCAACCAGGAGAGAACTGCCTTGATAAGACACTGGAAGTGTTTTTCTTCTGATAATAACATGCTAACTATAGGGTCTCATTTGATCCGCAGACTATTGTTTATTCATTTTGTGAATGACCTCCAATGCCTTTATTTCAGGAGTGACCCACAACAGAACCAGATAGGTCTTTTCAGGGAGAATAACTCTTGTGGAATAACAACTGTGCACATAAAGAGAAACAAATCTCACCCAGAAGTTTGAAGTTCCTCACGATGGCAAAGGAGAAGATGCGAGTTAAAAGGATAAGGAAACCAGCTTAGCTTTGGAAAAAACCCTGATCAGAGTCCAGGAAGCCAGTTTCTCCTACTGCCTCATGGCGCAGTGGTTAAAACGCTGTACTACAGCTAAAACTGTGCTCACGACCAAGGGTTCAATCTCAGATAGTGGCTCAAAGTTGACTCAGCCTTCTATCCTTCTGAGGTCGGTAAAATGAGTTCCCAGCTTGCTGGGGGGGGGCAATGTGTAGCCTGCATAATTAACTCGTAAACCGCTCAGAGAGTGCTTGAAGCACTATGGGGCGGTATATAAGCAGCACGCTTTTTTGCTTTGCTTTCTTGCCAATAAGGGAATAAAAAAGAATCAGAGGTGACCCCGTTGTCATTTGTACACTAGTAAGTGCTTCATGTATAAAGAAGAATCAGAAATAGATATGGTGATGACTTCTTCCACATTGGTCAAAACCATTAAGGCCTTTTCCTCTGTAAAGTTTTCTTCCCACATTTCAAGAATTATGCTGAGAAGCTAGGCATATTCCCTCACAGAAAAGCAACAAAGCTTTTATAGGGTTAGAGAGTATTATACAGTAGAGAATTGAAAGGGCTTAGAGGAGAGCATGTTGAGAGAACTTGATCTGTCTCTCTGTGATAAGACCGATCAGCAAAGGAAGTTTGTGAACCAAGTTGGGCGGGTGGCTCCCCCAAAATTCAGTCCAATAAATTATTTCTTTCTCTGTACCAAATCTACTCTAGTTGTTTTTCTCCAATTTTATGGACATGTTGAGGGAGATACAAACTGCAGCCTATGGACTGGCCCAGTTGATCTGGGGCGCAACTCTTTCTGCTACAGAAAGAAAGTAATTATCCAAGAACAGAAACAGATATTACATATGCCATGTGATTTGAAGATGGAATTCATCAATTGCTGAAAGCATCTGAGTGCACAGCAGAAGATTTCTTATGCCATGGAATTTGCAAATTAGCTTTCTTTCTTTCATGACTGTTCTTCAGGACCTACGCATGGTGTTCCTTTGAAGTCTGATTTCTCAAACAGGAACGACTACCTCCATCTCATCTCTCCACCGCTACTGTCTTTCAGTTCTGTTTTTCTTTAGTATCTGTTTATGACTTATATTGACATATCTGTGGATATAGCTGCCGTTTGGTGGTAGCAATTCACTTAAGCATAGTGGTTTACACATGTGCTATTGTACTTAGGAAAACCTCCGGCCTTCAGAAGCAGCCACAGAACCTAGAGAATAATATAAGGTGAGATGTTACTTCCTCCATTCAGCTGGAAGAGCTTCCAGAACTGTACTGCACAGAATATTTCAGACTTCCGAACAGGCCCTTTTGATTGGATGTATTAATAGGTTTTCTTTCCCTAAGAAGGTTTCTACAGGGTAACGAACAGACTACTGTTGAAACAAGCCCTAACACTACCACAAAGACCGCACCAGCTTCTGGCATTACTTTTTGGTCTGTTAAATACATGTTCCCTGCTACAGCAAACTCAGAAAGGTAGCTTAGAATTAATTTCAAAGCACTTAGCACGTGTGATGTAATGCAGGGCTATAGGGCTCCTCTAGCCACAGTAGGAAGATTTAAACATGAACATGCCTCTGTCCTTGTTTGGCCTTCTTGGTCCTTCTTTTCTTGATTTCAGAAATAGAGGGAATGTGTCAATAAACACCCTCCTTCACCTCCTGTTTTCTCTATGTGAATTAAAGCCTTAATGGTCCAATCATATGTTACAGATAATCAGCCCCTAAAAGAGGGAAATCCTTATAAGGCAGATTCATGATTGTCATAGGAGGAGCTTCCAATTTCCAAATGAGCTTGCTTTGTTTTGTGATTGATCTTTAGACCATATGGATTGTTCTTCTCCATAAGTCTGATTTCTCAGACACAAAAACGTGCCTTAAATATGCTGCTAGAACATTCTTGCATCCCGGGCAAATGGCACCGTGTCACACTCATTTGGCCCTGAGACATTTGCACAAGCTCCGCCAGGAACATGTGAGCAAAATATAGTAATACCCACCCAAAAAGAAAGGTTTTCTTAAGGCCCCTCTGTAGACTGACCTCTGTTTTGATGCCCTCCAAATGTTGGTGCAAAGGGATAAAGCGATAGTTACTTTACCCTAGTTACAACTGTGCTCTTGAACACTAACACAATTTTATCTCTAATGATAGGTTACATCTAATAATGTATTATATATTAAAAGGTACATTTTTAAAATTTATTTTGACTTTGTTCTAAAGTATTGTTTGGTCCTGAGGTGTCTTCACTTGTCTCTTTGCCACATGTGTGTGTTTAGAACCCCTTGTTGTTGTTTAGTCGTTAAGTCCTGTCCAACTCTTTGTGACCCCATGGACCAGAGCACGCCAGGCCCTCCTGTCTTCCACTGCCTCCTGGAGTTGGGTCAAATTCATGTTGGTAGCTTTTATAACACTGCCCAACCATCTCGTCTTCTGT